GTGGTCCCGGAGGGGGTGTGGTCCCGGAGGGGGTGTGGTCCCGGAGGGGGTGTGGTCCCGGAGGGGGTGTGGTCCCGGAGGGGCGTGGTCCCGGAGGGGCGTGGTCTAGAAGGCTTTATCTTCTTCCTCTGCTCTCCCTTCTTTCTGCTTCCCCAGCACCCTGCAGCTAACAGCTCTCCTCCCGGGGGGCCCCTCTGCCACACTGTTTCTTCTTTGGAGCAGGCCAACCCTGCACTGAAGCATGAGCCAAAATAAACGTCTCCTCCTTTAGGTGTAGGTGCCAGGTATAACGTCCCACAGGCCAGGAAGTGACTAAGACACTGATACACAACAAAATCACAAGTTAAGAATTTGCACTAGAAAACTCTGAACTTCATCTGTGATGGGCCCGCAGAGAAAGAGGGAAATGATGTGTGATACCGCGTTTCCTTTCTTGGTGCTGTAGCTAAATCCCACAGGCAGGGAGCTATGCAGAAGAGAAGTTTGTTTTACTCGGCTTGTGGCTGTGGAGGCTGGGAGGCCAAGCGAGGTGCGGCCGCTTGGTGAGGGCCCCGTGCTGGTCACCACATGGCAGGGGCATCGCTCGGAAGAGACAGCAGGGTGCTACTTCAGGCCTCTCTTCCTCTTCTGAGAAAGCCACTCGTGTCGTTGTGGGGCTCTACTCTCGTGACCTCACCTAACCTAATTAATTCCTGAAGGTCCTGTCTCCAAATACCACTGACATGCGGATTTGAGGTCGAGTTTCTCACACGTGAACTTCTGGGGACACATTCAAGCCACCACAGATACTTAGGGTGACCAGCCAGCCTGACTTACTGGGACACACTCTATTTTAGCACTGAAATTTCCACATCTTTTGTCCCGGGCAAGCTGGCACTTGATCACCCGGAGACGCTAACAGTCTACTTTGTATTGGTCATTGAAGGTTTGAGTTAAAAGTTGAGCTTAGGGCTGGGGATGTAACTCAGTGGTAGAGTCCTTGTATAGCAGGTATCAGGTCCTGGGTTTGATCCCCAACACTGCAAAAAAAATCCTAAACTTAGAGGCTACCCTCCCAGTTCGATCCAACCTGTCTGTATGCAGCCCATATGTGATCCGCACTTTGATGCCTTTTGAGCCGAGGAAAGACCAGGGTGTCATCCACAGCGAGAGACCCCTTCGCCACTTACAAAGCACTTCCACATGGGGCCTCGCCTCGGAGCCCACGAAGCCCGGGAGGGGTGTCGAGGAGCCGCCACTGTGGATGTCAGTGATTCAGGGGGACTCAGCACAAGCCCACAGATTAAGCCCTGAGCTTTCAATCCAGCGCTTTCCTGGGACACTAGCTGCATTTGTCAACAAAAATCATAACGGATCCACAAAGCAAATCTCCTCCCCTGCTTCCCGCGAGATCTGGTACAGCCATCCTGCTGGGCAGGCAGAGCCACGGACAGATGTGAAAATCATCTACAGGGGATGTCATCGCAAGACGAAAGACAGCCCTGCATGGGCATGGGGCTGAACGGGACGACAATTTTTGTAGTACAGGGTTGAACCCAGGGTCTCCTGCACGCCGGGCAAGCATCCTACCATCGAGGCACACCCTGAGCCCCTCTTTTTGTTTCGGAGACATGGTTTCATTACATTGCCCAGGCTGACATCGAAGTTGTGATCCTCCTGCGTTGGCCTCTCATGTAGCCAGAATTATAGGTACATACTATCACACCTGGCTGAGGTGACTTTTTGGTTTTTTTTTTATTTTATTTTTAATTTTTTGTTTTTTTTCCGGTACCAGGAATTGAACTCATGACCTTGCACTTGCCAGGCAGGCACTGTGCTGCTGAGCTAAATCCCCAGCCCCAAAATCCAAGGATGCTGAAGTCCTCCATACAACACAGTGTAGGATCTGCATAAAACCTGTGCACATTCTCCTATATACTTTATTTATTTATTTATTTATTTTAGTTTTTGTTTTTTTCCAGTACCGGGAATCAAACTCATGACCTTGCGCTTGCCAGGCAGGCACTGTGCTGCTGAGCTAAATCCCCAGCCCTGGCTGAGGTGACTTTTAAGGTCAATCTCCCTCTAAGGTCCTGCTCCCCATGACAACAGAGAAAAACAAACTGTTCTGAGGACCCAGAAGGGCCTTATCAGACCAGACTGACCCTCAGGAAATACGAGCAGGCTGAGACCTTCCAGAACATTCAGCCCTCTAGTTCTAAGGAGAAGGTCCTACCTAATACTTTAATCCTCTTCACCATCTTCTCTGTGTTATTGGTCACAGTCACAGTGACAGGGATGGGCTCCCCGTGGAAAAATACCTGAAAAAGCAAGAGAGAAGTCAGCAAAGGAGGACAGTGTCACCGCAGCTTTACTTTCAAGGCTTTCTAGGGCCATGTGAATCCCTTTAACTGAAGAAATGTGGCTGAACTCCCCCTTTGTGTTGTTTTGTTTTGAGACAGGGTCTTTCTGTGTAGTGCAGGCTGGCTTGGAACTCACTTATGTAGCCCAGCCTGGCCTCAAACTCGTGGCGATCCTCCTGCCTCAGCTTCCTGAGTGCTGGGATTACAGGCGTGCGCCATCATACCTGGCTCCCTCACTTTTAAGGAAGGAAACAATGCTAGCTATGTTTCCTCTAGAGAAGGGCCTGGAACCTTCTGCCTTTCTGTAGGAGACTGAGAAGGATGTTGGGATTCTGAGTGTCCCAGAAGAGGAGGCTGGGTGTTTCTAGTAGAATCCTGAGGTTTTGGGGGCAGAATGAGTGAAAGGCAAGGACCCTCCTGGGCAGACTGGGTGAAAGGGTTCTCCCTGGCAGCAACCCTGTGTAATCTGGGTGCGTGTGTACCCCTACACACATGCATGTGCAAATGCTGTGTGAGGCTCTTGCCAACACATGTGCATGACTATTGTGGACCGGAGAAAACCTCAGCCGGTGGCTCTTCACCTTTCTGCATAATGACACTTTTCACGGTGACATCATACATTATAGCCATCTTGCATTGTTTCTGGGAAACTGAAATGTTCCAGAGAAGTAAATAATTTCTTTGGGTGGGTGGGGTGTCTGGGGATGGAACCCAGGACTTCATACCTGCTAGGCAAGGGCTCCACTGCTGAGCTACAGCCCCAGTCCTTTTTCCTTTTTGAGACAGGTTCTTGCTAAGCTACCCAGGCTGGCCTCTAACTTGTGATCCTCCTGCCTCAGCCTCCCAAGCACTGTAGCTGGGATCACAGGCAAGCGACACTGGGCCTGACCAGAAATAAACTATTTGTAGTGCACCTAGAGGTGCTCTGTCAGAGAATGAGGCTCATGGGGACACGGAAGGCAAAACTAGCTGGAGGGGAGGTTAGCAAACAATAGCCATGCCCACCAGGGTGCCCCCACTCCAACACCCATGGTGACTGGCTCCAAATCTATGGACAAAGCCAGCCATTCACGAACTTCAGGCTTCTTTCCCCTGTCCCAGCCACAAGCCCGCATGGCTGGAGATGTGCATACCTCTTTGCTGAGGGAGACGGTGAGGTGCAGGGGCTTGTCCGACATGAAGAACTGCCAGGAGGCCTCGGCCCGGGGCTGGGGCCCCATCTCGGGTGGAGCGTGCTGCACCTTCCGGATCAGGAGCCGCACGGAGCTTCTGCAGAAGAGGTCACACTGTGACCCGCCGCAGGGCTGCAGGGGACCCCAGGGCAGGAATCCTGGAGGACCCGGATTCTGGCCTCCACTGGTGCCACCAGCTGAGTGGGTGTTGGGGCACGGTGCCCCCGAAGGGTCCCTATCACCCTGTCAGGCTTCCACTGAGCCTCCTCTGGGTGAGGCCATGGGTGGTACGGGTGCCTTCTGTGACAGGCTTCAGAGCTCCGTGTACAGGTGACACACGTGACTGCTCTGTCTGAGAAGCACCGAGAAGCGTGCATGCCAAGCGTGTGTCTTCAACTCCTGACTGCTGGGAAGGACGGGAGGAGGGGGATCTGGTTTGGGCAAAAAAAGAAAAGTGATGGCCAAGCGTGGTGGCACATGCCTGGAATCCCAGTACTCCGGAGGCTGAGGCAGGAAGATGCCATGAGTTCAAGGCCAGCCTGGACTACATACCAAGACCCTGTCTAAAAAAGCCAAAGACCACACACACACACAGACACAGACACACACACACACAGACACACACACACACACACAAGGTGTGCATGGGGTGTTGCTGGGAGCAGGGGGCTACTGCTTGCTGGGTGCAGAGATGCTATATGGGTGACGGAAAAGCTTTGAGCACGGATATCATTATGGTTGCACAACTTTGAATGTGCTTAATGCTACTAAGTTGTGTGGCTGAAATGGTAAACTTCAGAAGGAGACAAAAAGACGAAGACGTGTAAGGTATGTGTACCAACTCCCCACAGGGAATCCACTCATCATATGCTGCACACAGGTGTTGATAAAAATAAAAATTAAAAAATAAGCCGAAGGGGCTGGGGATTTAGCTCAGCGGCAAAGCGCCTGCCTGGCAAGCGCAAGGTCATGAGTTCGGTTCCCGGTACCGGAGAAAAACCAAAAAA